TACTCGGTCCAGGCGTACATTTGTACACAGCAGAGCACCCGTGAGTCGTCACTGCCGACCATCGTTGTGTCACTACTCCCTCTAGGCGTTCCGTTGCCCGGGCGGGCTACCTGTGTCGAATTTGGCGCACCAATTACGATAGGAGATGACGTGTGGATCGGAGGTCGTGTTGTGGTCCTCCCAGGAGTCACCATCGGGTCAGGCTGCATTATAGGAGGTGGCAGTGTTGTTACCAAGGTAAGTGTCTATACTGCTGATCACGCATCATGGTGATGTCAGGATATCCCTCCGCACACGATCGCGGCTGGCAATCCATGTAGACCTATCAAGGCGGCCCCTATGGAGCCTACCGATGAAGAGAAGGAATTTTTCAAGAAGTATGGGATACCGTACGACTCGCGAAGTCCTTGCGTTCACTAGAAGACTGTGTCTGCGTTCACTCTACAGTTGTTATGAAGTTTGACTCAACCACCGACTTGTGTTTGACATCGTCACTAATACTAACTGCATGTTTGAATTCAATGGAGTCTCACTCGTTTATGTGAGGTGGCGTAATACTCTGTGAAAAACGAGGTATTCGCGGCCTGTAGCAGTCTTGAAATATATAACTTACTAGTATTTTTCACCTCACGACACTTTAACGTTGTTAGTCTACGGAAAGTTTAGAAATTGGTCGATTATTATGATCGAGAAAGTTGGTCAGTTGAATACAAGGAGGACGGTTAGCTTTGAGGAGTATTAGTGATGTCACTTAAGATCGTCTCTGATGAGGATAATCGAGAGCGTATGTTGCGTGGGGAGCTTTATCACCCGATGAAAGAAGGCCTTATACAGCTCCGAGCCAAGGCTAAGGTGTGGTGTAGGCAGTATAACCAAACCGACGATGATGCAACTGATTTCATTCAAGTTAGAGAGCGACTTTTGAAAGGTAGCTCACAGCTGATCGAGATCGGGCGTCGAGAGTTGCCTTATAGGCGCTCTGGGTAGCTGTGGCAAAAGCCCTTTCATTGAGCCGCCCTTCCGCTGTGATTATGGCTCCAATATATATATCGGTGATAACTTCTATTCCAACTACGATCTTGTCATACTTGACACATGTCCTGTCCGGATCGGGAACAACGTAAGGTCGAAAGTTTTTAGCCGAACTTGAATATCTTGTAGGTCTTTCTCGGGCCTGGTGTGAATCTTTACGCCGCGGACCATCCGTGAGTCGGGTATATCAGGACTGGATTCGAATTTTGAGCTGGCGATGCTTGTGGTTATTGCTAGATAGAATCACCGATATAGATATTGCATTATCGCGCTTATTTGAACTATGTTGATTATGTTATTTCATGTTAGGAGGGCAGCCTCGGCGCGTAAGCATCTCATAGAATATGGCGCACCAATTACGATAGGAGATGACGTGTGGATCGGAGGCCGTGTTGTGGTCCTCCCAGGAGTCACCATCGGGTCAGTTGCATTATAGGGGGAGGCAGTGTTGTTACCAAGGTAAGTCAGCACGCCTCTACTCT